CACTGGTCTGACCCAGCAGGGCTCTTCTGAGGTTCTTCTCAGGGGAAGGCCTCGGCCTTTCTGCCCTGTTGCTGGCCCTCCAGAGGAACTGGTTGAGGCCACCATGTGAGACAGGAGGCTGGACTGGATGGACCCTCACTGGTCTGACCCAGCAGGGCTCTTCTGAGGTTCTTCTCAGGGGAAGGCCTTGGCCTCTCTGCCCTGTTGCTGGCCCTCCAGAGGAACTGGTTGAGGCCCCTGTGTGAGACAGGAGGCTGGACTACAAGGGGAAGGCCTCGGTCTGATCTAGGAGGGCTCTTCTGATGTTCTTAACGTGCTTTTCTGTGATGGAGCTGCAGGTGTGGAGGCATGCATCCAGCTCGCCCGCCCGCCCCCCCTTGTGTCCCGGGGACGCACTGCTAGACAAAGGGATGGATAAATATGGGTGGATTGAAGCTGTGCGCCCAGATGTGGACTGGATCTTGTCCAGCTGCTGTCAGAACGAAAGCCGGTGTGTCACCGCCTCTTGGAATCCTGAAGGCTTTCTCTCTCTCTCTCTCTCTCTCTCTCTCTCTCCCCCCCCCCCCCCCCCCCCCCCCCCCCCCCCCCCCCCCCATGCAGCTGACTTCAGAAAAACAGAATGGGATCCGTCCGTACAGAACTACTTCGTATCGAAGCCTGTCGGCGAGTGAGGTACGCAGAGGAATATTTGTTCGTGTCGTTTATAGTCCGCCGTTCTGTTTGGTGTAGTGGTTAAATGCGCGGACTCCGATCTCTCGTGGCAGCGCATAGTGGGAGACGCAGTCTCATGGACGTGACAGCCCAAGGCCATGAAGGGCTTTGTGTGCGATAGGCAATACCTTGAGAGCCGGTTTCGTGTCGTGTTTAAGAGCGACAGACTCTAATCTGGGAGAACGGGGCTTGGTTCCCCACTTCCTCCACTTGCAGCTTGCTGGTGTGACCTTGGGTCAGTCACAAGTTCTCTCAAGGGCAGTCCTCGAGAGAGCTCTCTCGGCCCCACCCGCCTCACAGGGCATCTGTTGTGGGGAGGGGAAGGGAAAGGAGACTGTAAGCCACACCGAGACCCCCAAGTGAAGGGCGGGGTATAAATCCAGTTTCTTCTCTCTCCTTCTTAAATTGAGCCCGCTAACTGCTGGGCAGCCAGGGGGAGTTCCTGCAGGATGGGAGGGGGTGCGCATGCTCTGCCTAGCTCCCGATAATAGCCAAGGACGGCCTATCACATCTCTCTCCCGCCTCCCGTTAGGAGGAGCCGTCCTACCCCGGAGAAGACATCCGGATCATGCGCGAGACGACCAAGAGGCTTTTCTCCAAGCTGCAAGAGGCAGAGAAGCGGCACCAGTCGGATCGGGCCGCTTACGAGGTGAGCACGCGGGGCTCTGGAGGGGGCGGCGGTGGCCTGGGGCCCCCGTGGGACTGTTTGGTGTTGTGGTTAAGTGCCCGGACTCTGATCTGGGAGAACCGGGTTTGATTCCCCACTCCTCCACTTGCAGCTGCTGGACGACCTTGGGCAAGCCGTAGTTCTGCCAGAGCTGTCCTTGAAAAAGAGCAGTTCCTGTCAGAGCTCTCTCAGCCCCACCTACCTCACAGGGTGTCTGTTGTGGGGAGGGAAAGGAGTTTGTAAGCCACTCTGAGATTCCTTTGGGTAGTGAAGGGTGGGGTATAAATCCAATCTCCTCTTCTCTTCTTCTTCCTCCTCCTCCTTCTCACCAGTTTGGTGTCGTTTTTAAGTGCACAGACTAATCTGGGAGAACCAGGTTTGATTCCCCACTCCTCCACTTGCACCTGCTGGATGACCTTGGGCTAGCCACAGTTCTCTCAGAACTGTCCTTGAAAAAGAGCAGTTTCTGTCAAGAGCTCTCTCAGCCCCACCTACCTCACAGGGTGTCTGTTGTGGGGAGGGAAAGGAGTTTGTAAGCCACTCTGAGATTCCTTTGGGTAGTGAAGGGTGGGGTATAAATCCAATCTCTTCTTTTTTGTCTTCACTGGATGCCCTCAAGTTCTAGTATTTAGGGGGAGGGAGAAGAATGCCTCTCTGTCAACTCTTTCCACCCTATGCATAGTTTTGTAAACCTCTTCCATGTTCCTCCGTAGCTGTCTCTTTTCTCAACTGAAAGGTTCCAGGCTCTTAACCACTACACCAGTTTGGTGTCGTGGTTAAGTGTGCGGACTCTAATCTGGGAGAACCGGGTTTGATTCCCCACTCCTCCACTTGCACCTGCTGGATGACCTTGGGCAAGCCGTAGTTCTGATAAGAGCTGTTCTTGAAAAAGAGCAGTTTCTGTCGAGAGCTCTCTCAGCCCCACCGACCTCACAAGGGTGTCTGTTGTGGGGAGGGGAAGGGGAAGGGGAAGGAGTTTGTAAGCCCCTCTGAGACTCCTTTGGGTAGTGAAGGGCGGGGTATAAATCCAATCTCTTCTTCTTCTTCCGTCTTTCCTCAGAGGGGAAGGGTGTGCTTGCCACAAAGGTGTCTGCCTCTCCGTGGGCAAGTCCCACACTCCACTTCAGAGGGGTTTTTTCGTCTTGCATTGCAGACTTCTATCTCCCATTACCGGAGGGAAGCGGAGCAGTCAGGCACGGCTCTCCGGCAGGCGGAACTGGATCTGGCCGAGAAAGACCTGAAGCTGGAGGAAGTGCAGCGGCTTCTCTCGGGGATGGAGAAGGTACTGCCGTTTCCGCGGCGATGCGCCGAACGGCAAAGAGCCGGCATTGAGTTCCAAAACTCGGTTGGAAAATGGGGGGCTCCCCGGGGGTTCCCCCCCACTTTCTTCCCCTGCCTGCTGCGAGGTGCGCCGGCCCAGGGGGACCGTCTCAAAATCCCGACCCTCTGGTTGGAGCTCAGTTGCCGGGGCCGAATTGCTAATTAAAACAGCGGTACGAGCTGCGAGGGAGAATCTTACCGGTGAACTCAGAGCGATTAAAAAAACAGCAAAGAAGAGCCCTGACTTGGATCGGCCAGGCCAGCCCGATCTTGTCAGGTCTCAGAAGCTAAGCAGGGCCGACCCTGGCAAGTACTTGGATGGGAGACCTCCAGGGAATGCCAGAGGCGGGAGGCGGGGGCAGGCTTTACTCAGCCACCTCTCTGAATATCCTCTAGGCCCCCAGTGGGGGTCAGTTTCCAGAGGTCGTCGTGACCTTCGGGGTCACACACACGGAGACATAAGAACATAAGAGATGCAAATGTTGGATCAGGCCAAAGGCCCATCCAGTCCAACACTCTGGGTCACACAGTGGCCAGAAATACCAGTGCCATCCGGAGGTCCACCAGTGGGGCCAGGACATTAGAAGCCCTCCCACTGTTGACCCCACCAAGCACCAAGATGACAGAGCATCACTTGCCCCAGAGCCCCTATCTTTACCTTGTGGCTAATAGCCACTGATGGACCTCTGCTCCATATGCTTATCCAATTCCCTTTTGAAGCCGTCCGTGCTTGTAGCCGCCACCACTTCCTGTGGCAGTGAATTCCAAGTGTTAATCACTCTTTGGGTGAAGAAGTACTTCCTTTTATCCGTTCTAACCCGACCGCTCAGCAATTTCATGGCGTGCCCACGAGTTCTTGTATTGTGAGAAAGGGAGAAAAGGACCTCTTTCTCTACCTGCTCTTTCCCATGCATAATCTTATAAACCTCAATCATGTCACCCCTCAGTCGTCGTTTCTCCAAGCTAAAGAGCCCTAAGCGCTTTAACCTTTCCTCATAGGGAAAGTGTTCCAACCCTTTTATCATTCGAGTTGCCCTTTTCTGCACTTTTCCCCAAAGCTATAATATCCTATTTAAGGCACACACGTACATATGAAAAATACCAAAACAAAACCCTCCCCCCCTAAAAAAGAACACAACACGAAGGATCATCCAAACAAACAGTGGCCCGGGTGGAAAGACAGAACCCGGTGGTGTAAACCCGGGGTTCCTGCCCCTTTTTCTTCCCACAGGCTCTTTTGGAATTCTGGCAAGACATGGTGGGTCCAGCTGCAAAACGGTTGTCAGGAAATGGCTGCCGGAGGAGGTGGAGCCAGTCACAAAATGGCTGCCACAGTTTACCTTCAAAAGAGAGAGGACTTCCCTGCAAAGCTCGTAAATAAAGGAAAAGCTGTGGAATGCGACGCTAAACGAGGCAAAAACCTCTTACGCGATGAAATGATTTAAGTAATCCGTAAACGCAGATTACAGTATGCAAAGAATAACAAAACAGAGTAAATGTACAATAACAAAACTGTGAATGAATATACAACAGAAATTCCGGGTATTCGCTTCGTTTTGAGTGTCTTCTTCACGGATGTTTTTATACAAATGCCTTTGCAGTGTTTTCTGTGTTTCCAAACGGTTAGAATTCGATATGATTCTCAATAGAGCATAAATCTTCAGACAGGCAACCAGTCATGGGTTTTAGATGGATCAGAGCCAGCTTGGTGTCGTGGTGAAGTGCGCGGACTCTAATCTGGGAGAACCGGGTTTGATTCCCCTCTCCTCCACTTGCACCTGGCTGGATGACCTTGGACAAGCCGTAGTTCTGATAAGAGCTGTCCTTGAAAAAGAGCAGTTTCTGTCCGAGCTCTCTCAGCCCCACCCACCTCACAGGGTGTCTGTTGTGGGGAGGGGAAGGGAAAGGAGTTTGTAAGCCGCTCTGAGACTCCTTTGGGTAGTGAAGGGCGGGGTATAGATCCAATCTCTTCTTCTTCTAATCTGGGAGAACCGGGTTTGATCCCCCACTCCTCCACTTGCACCTGGCTGGATGACCTTGGGCAAGCCGAAATTCTGATAAGAGCTGGTCTTGAGAAAGAGCAGTTTCTGTCAGAGCTCTCTCAACCCTGTGGGGAGGGGAAGGGAAAGGAGTTTGTGATCCGCTCTGAGACTCCTTCTAGTAGTGAAGGGTGGGGTATAAATCCAATCTCTTCTTCATCTTCTCTTCTTCTTTAACATTACAAAGCTGGTAACATTACAAGGCCACACCGGCTTTTTGCCTTGTTCAGCGTCTCATTCTGTTCCTTCCTTTACGCGGTTTACCTTCAGTCACACAGTGTGAAGATCCATGTGCTGCGGCGGTGGCGGCTGCCAGAACCAGGGCTATTTTGGGGCAGGAACGCACAGGAACGGAGTTCCGGCTGGCTCCCAAGTTGGCCACGCCCAGCAGGAACTCATTAGCATAATAGGCCACACCCAACAGCGGGAAATCATTAGGATTGGCTACATTTGGGGGGTTGGCCTAACATGCAAAGGAGTTCCTGCTCCAAAAAAAGGCCCTGGGTTTTGACAACAAACAAGGTCAACAGAATAAGAAGCAAAAGGTGGGTGTGGCTGGATGACCACACTTCTGGTAACACAGGGGTGTGGCCTAATAGGCTAATGAGCTGTGCTGTCATGGGTGTGGCCTAATATGCTAATGAGTTCTGCTGTTGGGTGTGGCCTATTATGCTAATGAGTTCCTGCTGGGCTTTTTCTACAAAAAAAGCCCTGGCCAGAACCATGTTTTTCAAAAGCTGCATGGCCAATCAGGACCCTTGCCGGACAAAAGCCCCGTGTGACCATGCCCGCTTTAAAAAAGAAACACTTGGCGGGGCACTGGGAAAGGCGTCAGTGGGTGGTGGCCTTGGGCCCTTGGTTGCCACGTTGGGGACCCCTGATCTAACTCGTTGGCTGCGAGGGGGACCGCTCAGGAGTGCTCGGACGGCCGGGAGCAATGTTCCCTCTAAGCTGTGGAGTCCTGTGAGCAAAAATTCTACTTTGTGAGCTACCGGCATTAAAGTTGTGAGCAGGTGAATTGGCTACTGAATAACTTAGTTTGCTCTGGAATCATCCTTCCTGAAGTAAGACAAAAATGTGTGAGCCGGAGGCTAAAAACAGTGAGCTAGCTCACACTAACTCAGCTTAGAGGGAATACTGCTCTGGAACCCTCCTTCCTGAGCGGAGACAAAAATGGGTGAGCCGGAGGCTAAAAAACTGTGAGCTGGCTCACACTCACTCAGCTTAGAGGGAACACTGCTCTGGAGCCCTCCTTCCTGAGCGGAGACAAAAATGTGTGAGCCGGAGGCTAAAAAACTGTGAGCTGGCTCACACTAGCTCAGCTTAAAGGGAATACTGCTCTGGAACCCTCCTTCCTGAGCGAAGACAAAAATGTGTGAGCCGGAGGCTAGAAAACTGTGAGCTAGCTCACACTAACTCGGCTTAGAGGGAACACTGCTCTGGAGGCCTCCTTCCTGAGCTGAGACAAAAATGGGTGAGCCAGAGGCTAAAAAACTGTGAGCTGGCTCACACTCACTCAGCTTAGAGGGAACAGTGCTCTGGAGCCCTCCTTCCTGAGCGAAGACAAAAATGTGTGAGCCGGAGGCTAAAAAACTGTGAGCTGGCTCACACTCACTCAGCTTAGAGGGAAGACTGGTCAGGAGTCAGGACGGGAAGTGACTCCAGCTCCACGTGGACACAAGCTGGGGCTGTTTGTGGTCCTCATTCGGCTTGGGCCCTCAGCGTCCGGAGCGGGAGAGGCCAACGGTCTAGCCCTGTGGCTTTTCTGGCCTTCCGCCGGCGGAGACGGGCCGGCTTCGGAAGCCTCCCTTCGGGCGTCTCCCCTGTCCCTTGTCCGCCTCCCGCAGGCCCCGACAGCTCTCCTGACTTCCTCTCCCCCCCTCCTCTCCCCCGCAGGAGCACCGGAGCCTCCTGCAGAAGATGAAAGACGGCGAATCGGAGCTGGAGGAGCTGCGGAAGCTGCGGAACGACCAACTGGCTGAGCAGGAAAGGTGAGGCGTGCTGCCAGGGGACGGCTAAGCTTTGGGCGTGGCACTCCGGAGGAAGATGCCTGCCGGGCCTTGGGCGTTGAGCTGATTCTGGGATCCCTGCTGCCCTGGGTGACGCTCTCGTGGAGGGGGGGCTCCCAGTCAGCTTGAAAAGGGGATTAGAAAGATTCGTGGAGGAGACGTCTGTCAGTGGCTGCTAGTCATGGTGGCTGAGGGGGAACCTCCACATTCCGAGGCACTAAACCTCCAAATCCCAGAGCCAGGAGGCAACATCAGGGGAAGGCCTCGGCCTCTGTGCCCTGTTGCTGGCCCTCCGGAGGAACTGGTTGGCCACTGGGTGAGACGGGAGGCTGGACTAGATGGACCCTCACTGGTCTGACCCAGCAGGGCTCTTCTGATATTCTTCTCAGGGGAAGGCCTCGGCCTCTCTGCCCTGTTGTTTGCCCTCCAGAGGAACTGGTTGGCTGCTGTGTGAGACGGGATGCTGGACTAGAGGGACCCGAGGCCTCGGCTTCTCTGCACTGTTACTGGCCCTCCAGAGGAACTGGCTGACCCCTGTGTGAGGTGGGAGGCTGGACTAGATGGCCCCTCCCTGGTCTGATCCAGCAGGGCTCTTCTGAGGTTCTTCTCAGGAGAAGGCCTCGGCCTCTGTGCCCTGTTGCTGGCCCTCCGGAGGAACTGGTTGGCCACTGGGTGAGACGGGAGGCTGGACTAGATGGACCCTCCCTGGTCTGACCCAGCAGGGCTCTTCTAAGGTTCTTCTCAGGGGAAGGCCTCGGCCTCTCTGCCCTGTTGTTTGCCCTCCAGAGGAACTGGTTGGCTGCTGTGTGAGACGGGATGCTGGACTAGAGGGACCCGAGGCCTCGGCTTCTCTGCACTGTTACTGGCCCTCCAGAGGAACTGGCTGACCCCTGTGTGAGGTGGGAGGCTGGACTAGATGGCCCCTCCCTGGTCTGATCCAGCAGGGCTCTTCTGAGGTTCTTCTCAGGAGAAGGCCTCGGCCTCTGTGCCCTGTTGCTGGCCCTCCGGAGGAACTGGTTGGCCACTGGGTGAGACGGGAGGCTGGACTAGATGGACCCTCCCTGGTCTGACCCAGCAGGGCTCTTCTAAGGTTCTTCTCAGGGGAAGGCCTCGGCCTCTCTGCCCTGTTGTTTGCCCTCCAGAGGAACTGGTTGGCTGCTGTGTGAGACGGGATGCTGGACTAGAGGGACCCGAGGCCTCGGCTTCTCTGCACTGTTACTGGCCCTCCAGAGGAACTGGCTGACCCCTGTGTGAGGTGGGAGGCTGGACTAGATGGCCCCTCCCTGGTCTGATCCAGCAGGGCTCTTCTGAGGTTCTTCTCAGGGGAAGGCCTCGGCCTCTCTGCCCTGTTGTTTGCCCTCCAGAGGAACTGGTTGGCCACTGTGTGAGACGGGATGCTGATGGACCCTCACAGGTCTGACCCAGAAGGAGAGCCAGTTTGGCAAAATGGTTAAGTGGGCAGACGCTAATCTGGGAGAACTGGGTTTGGTTCCCCACTCCTCCACTTGCAGCTGCTGGATGACCTCGGGCAAGCCATCGTTCTGTCAGAGCTGTTCTCTCAAGGAAAGTTCTGGAAAGAGCTCTCTCAGCCCTGCCTACCTCACAGGGTGTCTGTCGTGGGGAGGGGAAAGGAAAGGAGTTTGTAAGGTGCTCTGAGACTCTGAGGGAAGGCTGTGGTGTAAATCCAATCTCCTCTCCTCCTCCTCCTCCAATGTTCTTCTCAGGGGAAGGCATCGGCCGCTCTGTTCTGTTTTTGGCCCTTCAGCGGAACTGGCTGGCCACTGTGTGAGACGGATTGATGCCCCACCCTTCACTCGGAGCCTCAAAGCGGCTTACAAACTCCTTTCCCTTCCCCCTCTCCACAACAGACACCCTGTGAGGTCGGTGGGGCTGAGAGAGCTCTCTTGAGAACTGCTCCCGAGCGAACAGCTCTGAGAGAACTTGTGACTGGCCCAAGGTCACACCAGCTGGCTGCATGTGGAGGAGTGGGGGAATCAAACCCGGTTCTCCCAGATTGGAGTCCGCGCTCCTAACCACGACACCAGACTGGCTGTGAAGTGAATAAATAAACTGAAGTGGATAAATCAGTCAATCTGTCTTTCAACCGATCTTTGAGAAAAGAGTGCCTCTTAAAATGGACGTCGTTTTGGGTGGACAGCCGTGCTGGTCTGCGTCAGAAGAGCCGGATTCGAGTCCAGTCACAACGTCAGAGGCCAACGAGCTGGGCGTGGGCTTTCACGAGACAGACGCCCTTCGTCAGATGTATTGGAATCACGCTGGCCTTTCAAGTGCCGATGGATCGAATCTTGCTCGCGAAGCGAAACGTCTGCGCTTCCAGAAGCCTGCATAGGTGACTGTTTGAGGAAGTGAATTGTAAAATCGCCTTTAATGAAAGCTCGCCCCTCCTTTCCCTGGGAAAAGGGAAAGCCACGGGTCTTGTTCCGCTCCTGTCGGCTTTTTCCTTTGGAGAGAGCCTGCTGACGCTGACAGAAAGCGCAGACCTTCGAGGAACGGGTCCGTGAGACTCGACTCGGTCTTTTTGATTGGAGCGGAATGAAGAAGTGTGCCCTGCACCATCTTAGGGGATAGATTCACCCCCCTCCGTCTTCCCGGCTAATCCACCAGCAGCAGCTTGTGGTCCAGACAGCAGCTGTTCCCATTTTACAGATGGAGAAACTGAGGATAACGGCTGTTTTCTTTAAGATCTTCCTCCGACGACACACAGTTTTGGACTGGATGGGCTGTTGGCCTGATCCAAGGTGGCTTCTCTTATGTTCTTATAGTCTTAATGTGACCGGAGTACCATAGCCTCTGTTTAATCATTCTAGTTTTCCAAAACTACATAGCAAGATGAGATTTTTAATTGCTCTTCTTTTAACTTGTGGTCTATTCCTCCTCCTCCTCCTCCTCCAGGTCATCCTAACTAGAAAAGGAAGTTGCCACTTTGCGGGAGAAGATCCACCACCTGGACGACATGCTCAAGAGCCAGCAGCGCAAAGTCCGGCAGATGATTGAGCAGGTGGGTGCCGCTTTGGGCCGTGGGGAGCCGCGGGGTCCCAGGTCTGGGAGGAGTGGCAGGAGGCCAGATTCGGAGGGCTCCCTCCCTCGCTAGGCCCTGGTCCGTTGGTCATCTGTGGTTGCATCCTCATGGGAAGCATTTGGAGGCACTTCACCTCTCCTTCCTCCCCCACTTGCTGTTTTCCGAGCGCCTCCAGAATAGCAATGTTATCCACTCTTCACTGGGTTGGGTCCGCAGGCTCCATTTTGCTAACCGTGGGGAGTTGCGTTGCACTTGCTATTAGCCTCAAAGTATAGATAGGAACTCTCAGGCTGGTGACAAGTGATGCTCCGTCTTCTTGGTGCTTGAGGGGGGAACAGTGGGAGGTCTTCTGGAGTTCTGGCCCCGCTGCTGGACCTCCTGAGGGCACCTGCGTTTTGGCCACTGTGTGACACAGAGTGTTGGACTGGAGGAGCCACTGGCCTGATTCAACAGGACTTCTCTTATGTTCTTCTGTCTGGGGCAGTGATGCTCTGTCTTCTTGGTGCTTGGGGGGGGAAGAGTAGGAGGTCTTCTGGAGTTCTGGCCCCACTGGTGGACCTCCTGATGGCACCTGGGTTTTGGCCACTGTGTGACACAGAGTGTTGGACTGGATGGGCCCTTGGCCTGATCTAACATGGCTTCTCTTATGTTCCTCTGTCTGGGGCAAGTGATGCTCTGTCTTCTTGGTGCTTGGGGGGCAAGAGTGGGAGGGCTTCTGGAGTTCTGGCCCCACTGGTGGACCTCCTGATGGCCCCTGGGTTTTGGCCACTGCATGACACAGAGTGTTGGACTAGATGGGCCGTTGGCCTGATCCAACGTTGGCTTCTCTTACATTCTTATGTTCACTGGAGGAAAGCGCCACCGTTAGCAGAAGGAATCTTTTGAGTTCAGCCCTCTGTCATTTTTAAATTTTTAGGTTTTATTCATGGCAAAAGCCAGCATTAAAACAGATGAAACCAAAGTAGGTTAAACAGGAGAACCAATAAAAGAATTATAAAAATATATGAGAATAAAATGTAACATACAGATATGAAAACATGGCAATTATGACGGGCACTGCAATATACAGAGTGGCTAAATGCCTAACATTTACCCGACTGAGCTACTAATAACTTTCTGGTTCTTGAGACAAGCCAACCACATTTGGCTAATTTAAGTGTAGCCTCAGGGTGCCTATTATCCAGAAAGTTCTTTTTTAAAAAATTATTTTATTTAGGTTTTTCACATACATTTACAAAGAAATGTTGTCCATTTTTTTCCCCAACCGTCTACTTTCTTCCATCTTTTTTTAAACACATTTTCATCCTTTCCTGACAAAATCATATTTACTTTATCCATTTCTTTTATTTCTATAACTTTTGTTATTAATTCTTCTCTACCTGGTATTTTTTTCTGATTTCCACCCTTTGGCTATAAGAATTCTAGCCACAGTAAGGATATATAAAATCACACATTTGTCATTGTATTTTATCCCTTCCGGTAACATGTTCAACAAAAATATTTCTGGGTCTAACGTAAGTTCTGTTCCCACTATCTCTGCAATTAGTTGTTTTATGTTTTCCAAAAAATTTCCAACTTCTCACACCTCCACCACATGTGATAATAATCCAGAAAGTTCTTCAGGAGTTGCGTTTTTTGACTGGAAGTGAGAGGAGTCGTTTTGGAAAATGGGAGGGTATCTGTTCTATGCCTTGCAATCATATACGACATGCAGTAAAGTTTCTAAGCCTTCGTTACCGCAGGGCAGCCCTCTGTAAAGATGCTGAGTTGAGAGCCACATGGAAGAAAACCGGGTTCCAAGAGGGGACTGAAAGCCCCTCTGCCTTTCCAAGCTTAGCTGAATGTCTCTCTCCCTTGGCGAGGGTTCATCAGTAATGCTTTATCCCTGCTCAGGGTTTGGCAACTCTCTGATGAGAATGGACCAGTCTGGTTGTCCTGTGAAAAAATGAATTGAAATTAACCTGCCTCAGTGATAGGGGCTGATGTGGAGAAGGCCCCGTCTGCCCAAGAGGTGTGTACTGCTCCGCAAAACTCAGGAAATCGTAGCCTAGAAGGGTGTTGAGTGTTCTTGGCAAGAGCCCCTTGTCGATTTGGGGTTTCTGTGGAGGGAAGGGATGATGGTCTCTAGTGTGCTGTGATGGTCTTCTGGGGACTTTCTGCGGTGCCTCTTAATGCCTCTCTGCTTTCTAACTCACGTCTCCCAGTCCATTTGGAGGCAGGGTTGTGACAGACGGCTTCTAGTTCCGCCCTCCAGGCATCCCACCCAGTCTGTCCCTACTGGGTGAGGAGGCAGATACTAAGTGGCATCAGCCAATTAGAGGCCGTGGAGCTTCTGGGCAGGGGGGAATTAGGAGAAGGGAAATTAGGTCTTCAAAAACAGGGAAAGCTACTCATAGAATAGCTTATTTACAAAAGAAGAAGAAGAGATTGGATTTATACCCCGCCCTTCACTCAGAGTCTCAGAGCGGCTTACAAACACCTTCCCCTTCCCCTCCCCACAACAGACACCCTGTGAGGTAGGCGGGGCCAAGAGAGCTCTTTCGAGGACTGCTCTCGAGAGAACAGCTCTGAGAGAACTTGTGACTGACCCAAGGTCATCCAGCTGGCTGCATGTAGAGGAGTGGGGACTCAAACCATATACAATAAAATTACGTGGTAAAAACCATTAAAATCAACCCCCCCTTCCAAACATATGTCATTGAAATACAGACAGAACAGTTAAAAGATATACAAAGCATAAAGACATTGTTTAGGAAGGAAAGGGTTCTCTGAGAGCATAAAGCAAAAGACATTGTTTAGGAAGGAAAGTTCTCTGAGAGAACTTGTGACTGACCCAAGGTCACCCAGCTGGCTGCATGTAGAGGAGTGGGGACTCAAACCATATACAATAAAATTACGTGGTAAAAACCATTAAAATCAACCCCCCCTTCCAAACATACGTCATTGAAATACAGACAGAACAGTTAAAAGATATACAAAGCATAAAGACATTGTTTAGGAAGGAAAGGGTCATTGTGGGAACGGAACAAAGTCTTCACCCGCGACAAAGACGGCAACAGAAGGGGACTGATAAATCTTCCTGGGGAAGAGAGTTCTAGAACTTTGGTGCAACCGCCGAGCAGGCCCTGTCCCGGATTGCTACCCGACTGATCTCAAAAGGTGGAGGCATCCAAAGCAGGACCTCCAAAGATGACTGTAATGGCTGGGCAGGTTCATACGGGAGTAGGTGGCCCTTCGAGTATGTTGGTCCCAAACCATGTGGGACTTTGAAGGTCAAAGACCAGCACCTTGAATCGTGCCCGGCAGCATATTTGTTAGGTAAGTTAGGCTTCGCGGGTGAAGAAGAAAAATCTCTGCCACCTATAGAATAGGTACAGAGGGCTGATAGAGGCAGGAATAGAGCAGGTAACCTGTGTTACCTTAGAGACATAGTAGGTTAGTTTCTTGTGAGGGGATTGAAGGAAGTATCCCAAGAGACAAACTAGTCCTGTTACAATAGGCTGAGATTTTTCGGTCTCAGGAGGCGTTCCAAGTGAAATAATCCCCCCTCACTCTCCTGACAGAAAACACCCTGTCAATTAAGAACATCAGAAGAGTTACACTGGATCAGACCAGTGAAGGTCCATCTAGTCTAGCCTCCTGTCTCACACAGGGGCCTCAACCAGTTCCTCCTCTGGAGGGCCAAGAACAGGGCAGAGAGGCTGAGGCCTGCACCTGAGAAGAACATCAGAGGAGCCCTGCTGGGTCAGACCAGGGAGGGTCCATCCAGTCCCGCATCCCATCTCACACAGGGGCCAGCCAGTTCCTCTGGAGGGCCAACAACAGGGCAGAGAGGCCGAGGCCTTCCCCTGAGAAGAACCTCAGGTGAACCCTGCTGGGTCCAACCAGTGAGGGTCCATCTAGTCCAGCCTCCTGTCTCACACAGGGGCCTCAACCAGTTCCTCCTCTGGAGGGCCAAGAACAGGGCAGAGAGGCTGAGGCCTGCACCTGAGAAGAACATCAGAGGAGCCCTGCTGGGTCAGACCAGGGAGGGTCCATCCAGTCCCGCATCCCATCTCACACAGTGGCCAACCAGTTCCTCCGGAGGGCCAGCAACAGGGCAGAGAGGCCGAGGCCTTCCCCTGATGTTGCCTCCCGGATCTGGGATTCGGTGGTTGACCACCCCTGAATGTGGAGGTTCCCCTCAGCCGCCATGGCTAGTAGCCGTTGATAGACTCATCCTCCACAAATCTACCTTAATCCCCTTTTAAATCTGTCTATTCCTGTGGCCAGTCACTACATTCAGTGCCATAAAAGCTGTGATTGTGCAGAGTGGTAACTGTTCTGAAGCAGAGACCGGCCGTCCCTTGCTGCAAATAACCAATAAGTCGTTTCATTCCTTGCCTTACGTTCCAAACCACTGAGCACGGAGCCCTTACACAGAAGAGACAATAAAACTTTATCTTTTTGTGTCATGAAAGGAAGGTGGGGGGTGTCACTCACTGAAGGAGAGGGCGGGGGGGGGGGGGGATCGTGGAAATTACCTCAGATTTCTCTTCTACCTCCCTAGGGTTTCCTCTGTGAGAGCAGCACGTTATCCAGTGAAGAGATTTGTTCACATCGTCTCCCTGACCCACGTCATTACTCGCGGTGACACTTCGCCCGTGGGCTGTTTTGACAAACTGCCTTTTTTTTTGTCTCCCCTGCAGCTTCAAAACTCCAAGACGGTGATTCAGTCCAAGGACGCAATCATTCAAGAGCTCAAAGAGCGGGTGGCTTACCTGGAGGCCGAGGTATTTTGCTTGCTTTTAAAACAATACATTCCACTCTTCAGCCCCGATCATTCTTAGCAGAGCCTGTGGCAGAGCAAAATGCAAATCGGTATCGGCCCTTTTTTGGGCCCTGATGAAACTAATCCAGTAACACAGCTGTCTCAAATACTGATCTCTCACCACCCTATAACACGTAATAAGAGTAAGCAGTGAAACCAGCAGAAGCCGGAACGGCGGAACAAAAGAATATGGTTGTCCAGCCCAAACCGAGAATAGAACCCCAGATAAAACAGCCAGGGAAATTTGCCCCTCAAGCCGTTGAGCGGTGACTCGTGGGGGTTGAGGTTTCTGTCTCTTTCTGTCCCTTTTCTGTCTCTAATGCAATCTTAGGATGCATTCACAGAAGCCTTGTGTCCAGATCACGGGAGGTGGTCGTTCCGCTCTGTTCTGCTATGGTCAGGCCTCACCTGGAGGCCTGTGTCCAGTTTTGGGCACCACATTTTAGGAAGGATGTTGACAAGCTGGAGCGTGTCCAGAAGAGGGTAACCAGGATGGTGAGAGGGTTGGAATCCAAGTCTTACGAGGAAAGGCTGAAAGAGTTGGGTCTGTTTAGCCTGGGAAAGAGAAGGCTTAGAGGGGACATGATTGCTGTCTTCAAGTATTTGAATGGCTGTCATGTAGAAGATAGGAGCTGCGGTGGCTCAAGTGGTTAAGACGCTGAACTGCAGGCTGTGGAAGGTCAGTAGTTCAGCAGTTCGAGACCCGGTGCCGCATGACGGAGTGAGCTCCCGTCTCTAGTTCTAGCTCCTGCCAACCTAGCAGTTCGAAAGCAAGAAATTGCAAGTAGATAAATAGGTACCACTTTGGTGGGAAGGTAACAGCGTTCCGTGCGCCTTGGTGTTTAGTCATGCTGGCCACATGACCACGGAAACATCTTCGGACAGCGCTGGGTCTTCGGCTTTGAAGCGGAGATGAGCACCGCAACCCTAGAGTCAGATTCGACTGGCTTTCGAGCAAGGGAACCTTTACCTTTACCTTAACATGTAGAAGATGTAGCAGATCTATTCTCCTTCACTCCGGATTGCAAGACTAGATCTAACGGGTGGAAATTACAAGGGTGTCGATACCGGATAAATATCAGGAGGAACTTTCTTAACTGTAAGAGTGGTTGAGCAGTGGAACAGTCTGCCTCGGGAGGGGGTGGATGCTCCTTCGCTGGACGTTTTCAAGCGGAGGCTAGACGGCCATCTTCCGGGTATGGTGTAGGTACGTAGGGCTATCTTTCAGCTCTGCTCCTGCAGAGTGCAGGGGGGGTTGGACTAGATGACCTGCAAGGTCCCTTCCAACTCTGACATTCTGTGATTCTATGATTTTTCAGAATGGAACTCGCTTGAATTCAGACTAGGATTGGAGCAGGAGTCCAGTTGCACCTTAAAAGCTAACAAAATGTTGTGGCCGGTTGTGAGCGTTCGTGAGTCATGGCTCACTTCTTCAGATACCGAGGTAGAAAAGAGCAAGAGTCTATGAGCACCTTAAAGACTCGAATCATAGAATCGGAAACTCTTCTGATTTCATTTCAACCCGTTGGTTCTGGCCCAATCTTCTGGGTATTCTTGGTTACCCTCCACAGCCCAACGTGGAATTGCAAGTGAGGGGGGGGGGGCAGGTGCACCTTCCTGGGCAGGCTGTTCCATAATCATGGGGCTGCCCCTCAAAAGGCCCTGTCTCGTGTGTGCCCACCAGAGGAGCTTCTTTGATTGATGGGACAGTCCAGAGGGCCTCTGGGCTGGAACGTCTGGAAGAAGAGGATCCTTCAGGTGCCCCGAGCCGTGCAGGGCTTTGAAGGTTAAAAAAACAACACCTAGAATTGGGCTCAGGAGCCAGCGTGATTGCTGTAATTTCAGGGTCACATGATCCCAAAAGCTGGCCCTGACCAGCAGTCTAGCCACAGCATTCAGCACTCGCTGCGGCTTCCGAATACTCTCCAAGGGTAGCCCCAGGTACAGCGCATTGCAGTAGTCCAGTTCAAGCATGGACGGCTTCAAAAGGGAATTAGATAAGCATATGGAGCAGAGGTCCATCAGTGGCTATGAGCCACAAGGTATAGATAGGGGCTCTGGGGCAAGTGATGCTCTGTCTTCTTGGTGCTTGGGGGGGGGGTCAACAGTGGGAGGGCTTCTAGTGTCCTGGCCCCACTGCTGGACCTCCTGAGGGCACCTGGTATGTCTGGCCACTGTGTGACCCAGAGTGTTGGACTGGAGGGGCCTTTGGCCTGATCCAACATTGGCGTCTCTTATGTTCTTATGTTCTTAGATAGCACAGATCTTCCCTGCAGAACGGCAACAGTTTCCTCCCACCTTTGCCTATGGAAATGCACTTTGGCTGTCTTAGTAAACAGCAGTCGACAGGTCCCTGTAAAAGTAGACTGAGGTGGATGACATGCATAGCTACTCAGGGCAGTGAATCCCTCCTTGCTGAAAAGAGGATGTCGGAAGGCCTAGGAGAATCCTAGGAATGCCTGCCCCCTAGTGGCAGATGCTGGTGCTACAGGAAGCCAGGTGGATCCAAAGCACTTCTCTTAATGCTGGCTGTAATTTTCAAAGCCCGAAGAGGGGTGTTTTATTTTTGGAGGGGGGAGCAGATCTTAAAAGACCCCTTGCTCCCCTCAGCGGACACCTTCCTGTCGATTTCAGCACAACCCAGGGCCTTTTCCGTGTTGGCCCCTCAGCATCGGCCTGCAACTGGCTTGCTAGCGTCTAGGTACTGATTTCAGCAACAGCCGCATTGTCATAGTTTGTTCATGTGTTTTTTAAATTGGTTCTGTGTGTCAGCTGTCATGGACGTTTGGGTACAGTCGGATCTTTATTATTTATTGACTTATTTAATTCATTTGTGAACATAAGAACATAAGAGAAGCCAATGTTGGATCAGGCCAGTGGCCCATCCAGACCAACACTCTGTATCAAACAGGGGCCAAAAAGGCCAGGGGCCATCAGGAGGCCCACCAGTGGGGCCAGGACATTAGAAGCCCTCCCACTGTTGCCCCCCCCCCCAAGCACCAAGATGACAGAGCATCTCTTGCCCCAGAGCCCCTATCTATACCTTGTGGCTCATAGCCACTGATGGACCTCTGCTCCATATACTTATCTAATTCCCTTTTGAAGCCGTCCGTGCTTGTAGCCGCCACCACTTCCTGTGGCAGTGAATTCCATGTGTTAATGACTCTTTGGGTGAAGAAGGACTTCCTTTTATCCGTTCTAACCCGACTGCTCAGCAATTTCATGGAGTGCCCACGAGTTCTTGTATGGTGAAAAAGGGAGAAAATTCCTTCTTTCTCGACCTGCTCTATCCCATGCATCATCTTGTAAACCTCCATGTGAAAGGACCTTTCTCTGCCTGAGACCCTGGAGGGCTGCTGCCAGTCTCAGTCAAGAACACAAACCTTGATAAACCACTGGTCTGAATTAGGGCCATGGCTCAGTGGTAGAGCATCCACTTGGCATGCAGAAGGTCCCCGGTTCAATCCCCGGCATCTCCCATTAAAAGGTCCAGGCAGTAGGCGATGGGAAAGACCTCCGCCCGAGACCCTGGAGAGCAGCTGCCAGTCTGAGTAGACAATCCTGATGAACCACGGCTGGGGAGGGGCTGTGGCTCAGTGGCAGAGCATCTGCTTGGCATGCAGGAGGTCCCAGGTTCAATCCCCGGCATCTCCAGTTGAAAGGACCAGGCAGGAGGTGATGGGAAAGGCCTCCGCCTGAGACCCTGGAGAGCTGCTGCCAGTCTGAGTAGACAATACTGACCTTGATGGACCAAGGGTCTGATTCAGTAGAAGGCAGCTCCACGTGTGTTCATCTGACGACAGTGCAAAAAAAGCCGGAAGAAGTCCTGCCAAACAGGAAGTTCTCCTGCACATTTGCCCCATCCGACCACCAGGCTGAGGCCTTGAACCTTTCCGGGCTCGGTGTTGTCGTGGTCGGTGCCCTGCTGGCGCTGTTGGGATTGTTGCAGCAGGCTGGGCTTGGCGTGGGCAGGGACCGTCCCTGGTGTGAGCGACAAGAGGTCTCTGAGAGGGTCTCTCTGTCTCGTTTTCAGAACCTGGAGATGCACGACCGCATGGAGCACCTCATCGAGAAGCAGGCCAACGGCGACGGGTGCAGCGCCAAGCCCCGCTCCAAATCTGAGTGCCTCAGCAGGTGAGCTGGGAGGGCAAGAGGGAGGCTGTGTTGGATGTCGGGTTTTGTCAGCACTCTGATTGGACAGGCTCTGTGGCGTGCACTCGCTTCTAACGGGTGTTTGTCAGTGGGGGCTTTGCGCGTGGTCGTGTGAAAAGCTGTGGTTGACGTCTGTGTGGCTCTCCGCCACAGACGTCCGTTATACCAGGCCTCACACAACTGTAGAAGGGTTTTGTTCTTCCCTGCATTCCCTTAGAGGGGACACTGCAATGCTCCCTCTAAGCTGTGGGATCTTGTGAGCCAAAATTCTACTTTGTGAGCCACTGGCATTAAAGTTGTGAGCGAGCGATTTGGCTGCTGCATAAATTAGTTTGCTCTGGAGCCATCCCTTCCTGAGCGAAGACAAAAGTGCGTGAGCCAGAGGCTCAAAAAACTGCAAGCTAGCTCACAGTAACTCAGCTTAGAGGGAACCCTGCTCACAGGGTGTGTGTTGTGGGGAGGGGAAAGGAAAGGAGTTTGTAAGTCGCTCTGAGAGTCATTTGGGTAGTGAAGGGCAGGGGTATAAATCCAATCTCTTCTCTCCTTCTTCTTCTTCTTATACCTGGCTTCACACAGCTGTAGAAGGGTTTTCTTCTTCCCTGCATTCCTGTGTGTCAGTCGATGTTCCCTTTAAGCTGTGGGACTTTGTGAGCAGAAGTTCTACTTTGTGACCTACCGGCTTTAAAGCCGTGAGCGAGTTGTTTGCGACTGCCTAAATTAGTTTGCTCGGGAGCCCTCCCTTCCTGGGCGGACACAAAAATGCGTGAGCCGGAGGCTAAAGAACTGTGAGCCGGCTCACACTAACTCAGCTTAGAGGGAACGTTGGCTGCCAGCTATGGTTGTCAGGCAGCCATCTGTGGGTCGTCCCACCGTTTCACTTTGGGGGTGGGGGTGGGTCAGAGCATCTTGGGAGAAAGGGACACCTTCCCTTTAGCGCCTCAGAATTCATCCGTTTGCCACATCGCGGTCGTGCTTTTTTCCTGCATTTTGGCTTCACGACCACCCTGTGAGGTGGACCTGGATGAGCTCGTGCTGCTTCCCAAGGACCGTCTCATAAGAACATAAGAGACACCAATGTTGGATCAGGCCAGCGGCCCATCCAGTCCAACACTTTGTCACACAGTGGCCAAAAATACCAGGGGCTATCAGGAGGTCCAGCAGTGGGGCCAAGACACTAGAAGCCCTCCCATGGTTGACCCCCCCAAGCACCAAGAAGACCGAGCATCACTTGCCCCAAAGCCCCTATCTATACCTTGTGGCTCATAGCCACTGATGGACCTCTGCTCCATATGCCTATCTAATTCCCTTTTGAAGCCAATGTTGGATCAGGCCAAAGGCCCATCCAGTCCAGCACTCTTTATCACACAGTGGCCAGAAATACCAGTGCCATCAGGAGGTCCACCAGTGGGGCCAGGACATTAGAAGCCCTCCCACTGTTGACCCCCCCCCCCAAGCACCAAGATGACAGAGCATCACTTGCCCCAGAGCCCCTATCTATATCTTGTGACTCATAGCCACTGATGGACCTCTGCTCCATATGCTTATCTCCTTCCACACGTCCCTGTGCACTGACAGCGGTCATCGGGCAGCCATCCGTTGGCTGTCCCACTACTCAGGGTGGCCCATCCGGCTTCGACCAGAGTCAGGGCCTTTCCGGTCGTGGCTCCGGCTCTGTGGGACGGGCTCCCTGAAGAGGTGACTTCCCATGGAGATCTTCAGGCGGTGCTGCAAAGCCTGCCTGTCTGCTGGTGATTTGGAGGGGGTTTGAATGGCAGGCTTTTTTGTTGTTGTTGTAATTTTTAATTTGTGCATATGTGTCCGTGCGCGTGTGAGTGTGTGTGCACCTGGAGGTCGTGGCGACCTCTGGGGAGTGACCCCTACTGGGGGCCTGGGGAACATTCAGAGAAGTGGCTGAATAAAGCCTGCCCCCTTCTCCCAGATCTGGTATTCCTTGGAGGTCTCCCATTGAAGGACTTGCCAGAGTCGACCCTGCTTAGCTTCCGAGATCTGACGAGATCGGCCTTTCCTGGGCTATCCAGCTCAGGGCAAACGGCGGGCGTCTTTTAATAAGGGTGGGTGGGAGGTTTGGGGCTTGCTATTTCATTTTTGGATTTTAAAGCAAAAGTACTTTTATCTATTAGCGTAAGCCGTCTCGAATCTCTCCTTATTTTCTTGTCGTTTTGGAAAATAAGAATTTAAAAAAAAAAGACCAACAGAAGTTCATTGACGGTATGAGCTTTCGTGCGCACACTTGGAAAAGTGTGCCTTGCACACAAAAGCTCATCCCTTGAATAAACTTCTGTTGGTCTTAAAGATCCCACTGGACTCTAAATTGGCTCTTGTGGCTAATAGCTGTTGTACATATATTAGATGTACAACAGATTCTGAGTTAAGAGAGTCAAAGCCAGGTGCAGGACTGGAAGGGGGACCAGATGGACTACTATAGTCTTCTAAGGCTATCGTCTTCAATATGGCTATCAGAATGGCTTGGGACTGGTTCAGAAATAAAACGCGGCTCACTGAGGTCAAAAAAGTCAAACGCATCACTACTAAGGCTGCTTACAGAGAAAGGCTGGGGAAGGAAAAACCTGGATTCACTAGAGTCCCTATAGTCGCTGTCACTATCCCTGGAATCTCTTGCTGGCATAAAGAGTTCTGTGTTGGCTGGCTGATTGCAGAATTTTTATTGTACAGGAACAAAAGCTGGAATATTATTTGATTTATTTATTTTATTCAATTTATACCCCGCCCTCCCCGTGATGTGGGCTCAGGGCGGCTTACACGGAGGCAAATGCCATTATAAAACATATATAACATATATAAAAACATTTAAAATCCCGACAGTACAAAAACCATTTTAACCAGTTATTGACTAAAGTGCTCTAGATGTTCAACATGGTATTTCCCAAGATGGTGTATTGTGCTCTATTGCCTCTGCTCTATCTACTCGGCATCATCTGCTCTGGGAAACACTGATGTTCCCTCCACCAGGGCCAGGTTAAGATGGAACAGTAGTGATGATAGTGGCGGTCCCTACTCATACGCCTGGTGGAAGAGCTCCGTCTTACAGGCCCTGCGGAACTGCACAAGGTCCCGCAGGGCCCGGATCTCCTCCGGGAGCTCGTTCCACCAAGTAGGGGCCGCCACCGAGAAGGCCCTGGCCCTGGTAGTGGCCAGCCAGGCCTCTTTGGGGCCTGGGATTGCCAGGAGATGTTGGGTCCCGGACCGAAGTGCTCGCGGGGGAACATATGAGGAAAGGCGGTCCCTTAGGTAAGCTGGACCCAGACCATGTAGGAATAGTTCTGGAACACACAGGAACGAAACAGGAACATAAGAGTGCTGGCTGTGCACTGTCAAAAAGGTGTAGTGCAAGTACAGGCTTCAAGCTTTGCCTGCAAAGGACGCCAAAAAAAAAAAAATGCAGCGGCAGCGCACTTCAAATCACCAGTGATTTTAGGGTTTTTTGGTTTTTTTGGTTGTCCGATTTTTTGTGTATCGCTGCCTTATCTGTGTGGCTTTTTCATGAAGTAACTTTCCCCCTTTTTCTCCTTTGGTCTGCAGATCTGATCAATCCACATGCAACATTTGTTTGCTTTAGTTTTGTTTAGTTTGTGTTCAATTCCTCAGTGTCCAGTAGTAGCACATTTTGGCTGGATGAAGCCCGGCGAGTGAAGGGGGGAACAATTTTAATATAGCCACTGATAGACCTCTGCACCATAAATTTCTCCAATCCCCTCTTGCAGCTGTCTATGCTTGTAGCCGGTCACCACTTCCTGCAGCAGGGAGTGCCACCTACTAATTACTCTTGAGAAAAGGCGGGAGAGAAACGGTTACCTGAACGAGCCACGCAGGTTGATTGGTTTCTCTTCTCTTTTCAGCGGCCCGAGGGTCACCAAGTCACTGGGACCCAAACCCTTGCCTCTGATCCGCGTGGTGGAAACATGAACCGGTTCCCAGCCGCCCGCCCCGCCCGCCCCAAAGGTTCAGCTCCGGGGTGAAAGAGACTCATCCCCGCCTCGCTTAAACCCTCGGCTGATCGGCGCACCAAACAGCAGCGGCTTCCATAGCGGGCACAGGCCGCCCGGACGTTGTGGGCAAAAAGCAGAGAGACAAGAGCGCTGCGTGGATGTGCGGGTGCGGGGGGGGGGGGGGATTTATGAAACTCGTCGCTCTTCCCGAGGGCGGTAAGGAGGACCCTTTTCTCGTCGCGCTCCTCGCAACCGACCCGATAAGACTGGCCGGCAGGATAAGAAGAATTCCGTTCTCTTTTTGTTTTTATAAAGACTCTTCCCTCAAAGCTTTTTGGATTTATACGCTCCTGGAAAGTGTGCAAAAATGTTTTCCCTCCCCGTTTCGGAGGAATCCAGAGACTGAGAGCAGTGAGTGAAAGGCCGCTGTCAGAGGAGGTGGGTGGGACAGAGGACGGCCGCTTGTTCCGAAGAAATCCACGGGCATCGTTAAAGACCAAGCTGGGGGACTTCTTTGCAGAGCCGCGTTCGAGTTCCTGTTTTTCGATCACGCTACAGCGCGACGTAATGCTGAGAGGGTGGGGTGGGAGGCCATGAATTAGTATGCCGTATGCAATGCAATGTATAGATTTTGTTCAGAGCGTTTAAGGTTCTTTATATCATAGAATCATAGAATGTTGGAAGGGACCTTGCAGGTCATCTAGTCCAACCCCCTGCACTCTGCAGGAGCATAGCCGAAAGATAGCCCTACATACCTATATAAACATTAGGGCAGGCTCAGGGGTCGACCCGTTCCCCCCCACACACACACTAGAACCCGCCCTGCTGACGTTCCTTGAATAGGCAAACCGTGAATGCGCGCTCTGGAGCTCTCGGACGTGGAAAGCGGAACTCCCCTGTGCTTGGCGGTGGTTCCAAGTGTACAAGTGTCGCCCGGACGCCGAGGATCGAGAGTTTCACCAAAAGCCCCGAGGTTCGATTTGTGCGAATGCCTTTCCACCTCTGCCAGATAGGCACCGGTCTACACGCCGAGGTGCGCGTTGTACAGTTTGCGCGTTCTGTGCGTGGGAGCGTGGCCCCAGCATTGCCTCGCGCAAGGAACCTGCTCCGATCTTCCGTCCGCTTTTTGTCCAAGGGTGGAACCGTTCTTTCCTTTTGTACAATAGACCAGGGGGGTCCCCTAACCGTTTTGAGCCGGTGGACACCTTTGGAATTCTGACAGAGGGTGGCGTGGGAGCAACTGCAAAATGGCTGCCGTGGGAGGCGGTGCCCACCACAAAATGGCCGCCTCTGGAGGCAGAGCTACATCCATAGAAGAACCCCAGGGGAGTCGGGGAGAATGGGGGTAGAATACACTGGAAAATAGGAGGGAGAGAGGAAGAAACCAGTCCTTTCGTAGTAGCTGCCACTGAAATAATATTATTGTAACCTGTCCAGTCACCCACCCACAGCTGTAAAAACACTTGCTGGGCGGCAATAAAAGTGTCAGTGGGCGGCCAAGTTTTGGGGGGGGGGGCTGCAATAGATATCTGCAGTCTGGGAAGAAGAAAAGAAGAGATTGGATTTATACCCTACCCTTCACCACCCGAAGGATGAGAACTGCTCTTTCAAGAACAGCTCTTATCAGAACTGTGGCTTGCCCAAGGTCATCCAGTAGCTGCAAGTGGGGGAGTGGGGAATCGAACCCGGTTCTCCCAGATTAGAGTCCGGGCACTTAGCCACTGCACCAAACTGGCTCTGAAGAGGGAAGAGTGCACCCAACTCAGGCGGCACCGGATGCTTAAAGACCAAATCCGTCCCCTTCTCTCCGCTCACTGAACTGAATGCGCTTCCCTCGTGGCTTTGGGAGCATCTCCGAGCGTGTTCACGCCCACACACGCAACGCATTTGCGTCAAGACCCCGTTAGCTTTGGGACTCGGCTCTGACCCGGAGGTGAGGTTAGGCAGTGGGGAACTCCACCCGAGAGGGCCCAAAAGTTTCCCTTTCTCCAGGACACGGAGGCTGTTCAAGGGCTTGTATTTATTCTGTACGCTGCTGCAGTAGTAATCTAGGAGTATCAGGCACTCCGGCGCGTGACTGTAATCCGCCTTACCGAGCATGTGGCTGCATCCCCTACCCGTTTACCCCGCCCTTTCTCCGAGGGGTTCTGTGCATCTTACACAGTTCTTCTCGCCCTCCCTTTTATCCGTACACCGATCCTGTGAAATAGGTGAACCCGAGAGACCGTCCGGCCCACCGTCGCCCCGAATTTGAACCCGTCTCTCCTCGCTGTTCGTCTGACACTTAATATTGTGCTCCGTTTGAGAATGTACAGATTTTATGCAGCACGGCTTTGCCTCCGGAATGTACTTTATAAAACAACATTGCTGCCATCTTTGCATCTGCCGGAAAGGGAGGGTGGGAGGGGGAAGGAACCGCTTGCCTACAGCTTGACCGGCTTAGGGACGCGAAAGCGAAAAAACAGCGGATGTAGAAGCGAAAACAGAAACGGAAACCCCATCTGCCTTAAATTGTCTCTGTCCAAAATGCTGTGTACTTAGCGGGGTTGGAATAAATAGAGAGAGGATGCCAACGGGCTCCGTGTGTGTGTGTCATGCTTCCATGTGGGCATCGGCGCGGCATCTTTGCTTGGCACGCCCTTCGCGGAGACAGCCTCTTCGGGCGCCTTGGAGGCGGCACAGCTGCGAACGTTTGCAAACATTGGCCGGGTGCTGCCGCCTGATCCCTTGTGTGTTGTCAAACATACAAGCTGCCGCCGCCGCCCACTCTCTTGGGGCTCTGCGAGTCTGGGCACGAGGCCTCCCGGAGTCGGTTTTGTTGGCACTTCTGGGGCAGAGGGCCCCGATGCGGGTTTGAGTTGTGTCCAAGTGGGACTCCGGCATGGATACACGCGAAACCGCTTTCTAGTGAATCAGACCCTTAGAATCCTAGAGTCACAAAAGTCGGGAGGGGCCCGACAGGCCATCTGGTCTGACCCCCTGCTAGATGCAGGATCCGCCTAGAGCGTCCCTGACAAGTGTCTCTCCTAGCCGCTGCTCGAAGACTGCCAGGGAGGGGGAGCTCACCACCTCCCCGGGCAGCCGATTCCACCGTGGCACAACTCTTGCTGCAAAGAAGTGTTTCCTAATATCCAGCCGGTACCTTCCCGCCCTTAATTTCACCCCATTCTTGCGAGCCCTCTCCTCTGCTACCAGCAGGAACAACTCCCTGCCCTCCTCTAAGGGACAGCTCTTCAAATACTTTAAGAGAGCCATCCTGTCCCCCCTCAAGCCTCCTCTTCTCCTGACTGAACCTTCCCAAGTCCCTCAGCCTTTCCTCAGAGGGCTTCTTGGACTCCAGGCCCCCGATCCTCGGCGCTCTCCTCTGCACCTGCTCCATTCAATCCACATCCTTTTTGAAGGGAGGCCTCCAGAACTGCACACAAGACTCCAGCTGCGGCCTGGAGTGTACCCTGGGTCCATCAAAGTCAGTATTGTCTACTCAGACTGGCAGCTGCTCTCTGAGGTGTCAGTGAGAGGTCTTTCCCATCACCTCCTGCCTGGTCCTTTTTAATTAGAGATGCCGGGGATTGAACCTGGGACCTTCTGCATGCCAAGCAGAGGCTCTGCCACTGAGCCATGGCCCCTCCTTGGCACATGAAATTTCCTTACACTGAATCAGTGTTGTCCACTCATACTGGCTAGCTGCTCTCCAGGGTCTCAGGTTCAAGGTCTTTCCCATCGCCTACCGCCTGGTCCTTTTACCTGGAGATGCCGGGGATTGAACCTGGGACCTTCTGCATGCCAAGCAGGTGTTCTTCCACGGAGCTATAGCCTCTCTCCATGGCTCTCCAGGGTCTCAGGATCAAGGTCTTTCACATCACCTACTGCCTGGTCCTTTTACCTGGAGATGCCGGGGATTGAACCTGGGACCTTCTGTGTGCCAAGCAGATGCTCTGCCACTGAGCCATAGCCCCTCCCTGGCACATGAAATTTCTTTACACTGAATCAGTATTGTCCACTCAGACTGGTAAGCTGCTCTCCAAGGTCTCAGGTTCAAGGTCTTTCCCATCGCCTACCGCCTGGTCCTTTTACATGGAGATGCCGGGGATTGAACCTGGGACCTTCTGCACGCCAAGCAGAGGCTCTTCCACTGAGCTATGGCCTCTCTCCAGGGTCTCAAGCGGAGGTCTTTCCCATCACCTCCTGCCTGGTCCTTTTACTTGGAGATGCTGGGGATTGAACCTTGGACCTTCTGCATGCCAAGCAGATGCTCTACCACCAAGCCACGGCCCCTCTCCAGTACCCTGCCCCCTTTTCTGCAGGATCCCAAACTGGTTTATGAACACACATGAAACTGCCTTATGCCAAATCGGACTCCTGGTCTATCAAGGTCGGTACCATCCCATCTGACTGGCAGCGGGTCTCCGTCTGAGGTCTTTCCCATCACCTCCTGCCAGAACTTTAAGCAAGGGGCCCCAGCTTTTCTGAGCCTGCAGTCTCCTTTGGAATTCTGCTATGTTGTGGTGAGCGCAGCCACACATTGGATGCTACGGATCGCCTTCAGCCCCCACCGTGAAGATCCTCGTGTTCCAGCAACAGCTTTTGGCCAAAGCGACGTATTTTTTTTAAAACCTGCGCAGCCCATCAGATATCTCCGGCGCTCAGTCAGAAGCACTGATTGGGCAAAAGGCCCACCTGGCCTCACTCACGTTCTAAAAACACTTGGTGGACACCGGGGAAAGTGTCAGCGGGTGCCATGCAATGCTCCCTCTAAGCTGTGGAGTCTTGTGAGCAAAAAACCCACTTTGTGAGCGACTGGCATTCAAGTTGCGAGCGAGCGACTTGGCTGCTGCATAAATCAGTTTGCCCTGGAGCCCTCCTTCCTGAGCTCAGACAAAAAGTCCGTGAGCTGGAGGCTAAAAAACTGTGAGCTGGCTCGCACTAACTCAGCTTAGAGGGAACACTGGTGCCATAGTGCCCCTGGGTTATTGGGGACTACTGGCCTTAAGGGGGGGGGAACACCCCACTTTCTGACTTGAAATGGCCCCAAGGGAGCTCCTTGCTCACCCAGCTGAGGACTCTTCCCTGCAGCACTGGTGTGAGGGAGAGAGTACACAGGAGAGGCTTGACGTGGTCTGGTAAATTTAGTAC